TATTCTCCTCGAAAGTTTTTCATGCTTTTTCGATTTTCCTCCATTTGAGGTAAATTTTCTGGATTTACAAGATCACAGGATTTTTCCGCTCCATTACTTTAATTTTTATATTTAAGTTTTTTTTTATTTTGTACGTAGTATTCCAGGTAAAAGTAAAGCAGCTGAGCTATAGTATTTCTCTCCTTCGGCTAGTGCACAATGTTTAGTGGCAGCTGGGAGCGAACCAGCATTATCAGTTGACCGGATTGTGTATTAACTATTACACCACACCACCTCCTGCACAGCCTTAGGAATTAAATAGCTACATATTAGAGATCGGATCGAGACAAGATCTCGAACGGAAATCAATGTTACCGAGATAGATATTTCGAGAGATCGTTTCTTGCACTTCCAGTCGGTCTTTAGTTCGTATTATTTTTGCGTATTTCTCCAATTAATCACCTTCCCCCTCCCCCCTCCCTCCCACTAATTATAATTACCCCCCCTACTCCATTAATTAACCACTCTAATTTGTGAATATTACTCAGAAAAGTATCGGAGTAGAAACTAGCAACAGTCTATTAGCTAGAGTTACTCTTAAAAGCTCAATTTACTCTTAAATCCCGATTTCTATTTTCAATACAGCTCTGTCAGTAACAAAATGGAGGTGTACCCAAAATTAAAATTAAATTCACTTACATTTCATCTATGACCTGAATTAAATGAAAAAATTACACTAGTTGAAATTAATTTTAAAAAAATTTTTAGGATGTTTTTTAATATAAATCGCTGGTTTAAGGGGTGAGAGGTAAAACTTGGTTTTGCAAAAGACGGCCCAAATGTGTTGTTTTGACTGAAGAGAAGGTTCCATACATAGTGGGACCACACTCTTCTGCCATCCCATATTGTTAATATAAAGCCTTCCCCATAGCTGGAACAACCTTTCCCGTTGTAACAAACAAACAACATCTTTGCGCCAGGACCCCAACTCATTTGGACCTAGTATTAAAACGAAAAAAGCAAATGAAGCGCCCCATTAGCTCAATCGGTACCTGGTGAGTGAAAGCGACTAGAAATACCTTCGAGGAAGTTACAGTATCCCCGCATGATGATAAAATTGACTTAACCCTTGCAAATTGTATTATAAACCGGGTCTGCCCTCATAAAATATAAGTAGGCATATTAACCTGTTGATATAAATTTTCTTCATCGCTATAATATTTTCCGATTGCTTTATCAACCCGTTTAAAACTCTCATTTTCAACAACCTCCAACTTTTCATTCAAAAAAAGTTTCACTATGCTTTTGTATATTTTAGCTTTATGCTTTCTATGTGATTTTAATTGATCAAATGTATTTTTTATATTTTCAAAATGCTTTGAATATCCTTCAAATCCTTCGATTATTTCCACTGTCTGGGCTCTCATTTCTTCCAGCTTTTTTAAATATCTATATGAGGAGATACTTTTCAACTCTTGAAGATTCTCTTTATATTTCTTCTTATAATCTTAAATAAATTAAGTCAAATCCAGACTAGGACACGGATACGGATTTTGGTATTCGTATCCCGATATTACGCCGGATACAGGTGGATATCCGCAGGCATTTTGGTATTATCTGTATCCATATCCGTATCCATGTCTGATCAAATCTCTGTGCAGAATAGACTTTTCTACGGTTACTTTGTTCAAAGTGATCGAATCCTGGACACCCTGGTTTGGCTCGATTCACCTTTACGAGCTGAAGCGAAACATACGCGCATCCCGGACAAAGTTCTAGCTTGGCTGTACCTTGGGATTGCGAGACCTTGGCCTGCTCCCCTTTAAAATGGACCCCTATGTGTTAGTGATGTTCGGGAGAAGAAAAAACTCGGGAATCGGGAAACGGGAGTCGGGTCGGGAAATGACCTCGGGAGTCGGGATCGGGAGTCGGGAATTTACAACAAAAAATTTTTTCCGCCTTCGGCGCCAAAAAATACCAATTTTTTGCAATGCAGGCAAAAATTTTGAGAATTTTAGAAAGTCAGGAAGCCAGACATCTAACCTCCTAGATACGCCATTGTTGTTATGATCACTCTCGACAGTCTTTTGATATCCAACTTAATCTAAAATCCTTTGTCCGCGCCGCCGGCGAAAATTTCTTAAGTCTGGAAGGCTAAGAACCAGACTTCGGCCTTTATTCACCGCCGGAGGCGAAAATTTTGAGAAACGGAAAGCCGGTTGGAGGCTTTGAGGAAAATTTTCTTAGAGAAGCAGCAGTTACAAAGACTAAATAAACCCAATCCAGAAAGTGAGGGAGTAAATACTTTGGATAATTTTGAGAAATGTAGTGAAATATTTACCGCCGGACGCGAAAATTTTGAGATATGGAAAGCCAATGAGCTAGATTCCATCCTTTTTCTCAGCCACATGTGAAACTTTAAATTTGGAAGACTAAGAAGTGAAATTTTTCCTCCCTCAACGCCGCAGGCGAAATTTATTTAAGTTTGAAGGCTAAGAAGTCAGATGTTTTTCTGCGCCGCAGGCAAAAATTTTTGAAAATTCATGACTAAATTAATATATCTAGAATTTTTTGACGTTTATAATATTGAAAAAAATAACTTTAAAATTTTAAAATCAAAATCAATGTTAAAACGATTTATTTTTGGGTGGAAAAATTATTTAAAAACATTTACCACCCCTGGATTCGAACCCAGCCCCAACAAAGCAACTGAAGACACTCAACTAAACCACTCAACCATCTCTCAACAATAGTTATATGTATGGGAAAAAATTTAGGTAAATATTTTATTTTTCCTTTCTCTTTTTTATTTTTTTTTTCTTTATTTTTTCCATTCAAAAATAAAATTTTATCAGAAAAAGTCATTCTTAGGGGTGTAAAAATTTCCCGACTTAGTCGGGAATTGGCATTGGGAGTCGGGGTCGGGATCGGGAGGCCAAAAACTCGGGAAATTTCCCGAGTCGGGTGTCGGGAGTCGGGATACCCGAACATCACTACTATGTGTGCTCCATTCAAGGGATTTGTAGTGGTGTCACTATAGTAAAAAAGCCAGTGAAAGCGTCAGTCAAGTTTGATCATACTAGCCCTGCTAGTCCCTGACTCCCTTCGTCTGTATAGTGAGGTTTTGTCAAATGTGCATACAACAAAACCTCTCACTATACTAGAGACGTGTAAAGGGGGTTTTATCTTTAATATTCCAACCTCCTCTTTTCGTCACTACTTGTTCCACAGCCTTTCCAAATCCTTTAGCCATGCTAACCACTTTTTTCTTTGCCGCCTTTGGAATTTTTTTAGCAAGGTCTTTAGCTCCTTCAACTGCATTATCCACCTTTCGCTCGAAAGAGCCTTTAGATGAATGCCCGGTAGAAAATTGGTAATCCCTTGCTATTTTATCATCCCTTTTTCCTCCAATGATTTCATTGACCATAGCCAACAAAATAATTAAAGAGAAAATTGTCCAGAGATGCATTTTTTAAAGAAATTTTTTTCTAAAAAATTATAAAATTTATACTTTTAATTCTAATCTATGTGAAGTTTGGCATGGAAAATAGTGGATACCCCAACTTTGCAACACCAAGAAAAATCCAATTTTTTGATTGGACGTATAAAAGTCGATTGGACGTATACACTGTGTAATAGGGCCAAAAACAAATTTAAAAATTTTAAATCAAAATCATAGTTTAAAAACATTCATTTTTGCTCTGGATTCTGCCCTGGATTCGAACCCATTCCTATCAAAATAGCTTAAGTGAGCAAAGTAAGTCAACCTAACCCCTCAACCAAATGAGGAGATAAAGGAGAAATACCTACATAGATTTCTTTCCCTTTTCCTTCAAAAAATTTAATGTCAAAGTATGAGAGTTAAGAGAGACTCATTTTAAGAAATTTAGATTTTAAGAAAATAAAAAATAAATGTAAATTTGACTTTCCCCTTCTATTTATAAAAGAAGGGAGGGAGGGGCAATTAAAGAAATACGCATGAAAGCTCATGGAGCATGAGCCTTTGAGCCAAGCCCATGAGCCAAAAGAAGTATATGCGTCCCACGAATATACTAGAGCTCTAGATAATCCTTTGGAAATCGCCCTCTCTCCTTTCTTTTCCCTTCTTTTTATTTTCTCTATCCCTTTATTGCAAAATATATATAGTAATTTGAAAGAGCTCTTCGAGCCGAGTCAGATGACACTAAAATCAACCTTGTCTGATTTAACTATTCAAAGTTATGACCGTTTATTTTAGTTCCTTGTAGGGACTAGAAAACTTTTCCGGCGTGGTTTAGCTTCTTAATTTTGTTCAGAATCATTAAATCTAGCCGATTTTAGTATCATTCGACCCAGGGTGTACGGAATTTTGGTCACCGGAATTTTTGATCCCAAGCAGAATTTTGGCCATCAAGCCAAAAGAACGGAATACTGGGCACTTGAATTTTGTTCATTAAACGGAAAAGATCTTATTTCATTAAGAAATCTTATTCCTAATTTCTTAAGAAATCTTATAAATACAATTTGTCTAAACTTTGTTTTTCTGCCCAACCAAATTTTTCATAGATAGGTAATTGAATCTGTCACAAATGATTTTAGAAGAGGACAAAATCTAGAAATTTGTTAAAAAGATTTTTGTTTAGCTATGCAACACAGTTAAATGCAATATCACTCTAATTATCTGACTGTAACTTTTCATAAAATTAGTTGATCGAATCGATCATGTTAGCTAAAATAATCTACAAATCCCTAGCTTTCGATTGATATAAAAATTATTCAAATCGGCCAAGAATTTAAAAAGTTATGATCCAAAATAGACCTCAACCCTGTAACCAGTTATTTAAATATTCCTCTTTCCACGAAAATTTTATTATTGGCGTTCTGTTTAATATTTATAGAAAAATGACATTTGATCCCATTAAAATCTTTTATCGATTTACTTGTTTTATGTTTCCCATTGTCTTGCGGGATTGTGTTTTTAACTGTTTTCCTTTCAAGTTTGACTCATTTTTAGAGAAGATTTTAGTCTATTTAACTAAAAAATGGTCTCCGTCAACGGCAAAAAAGTGAAGATTGTCAAGAAGCGAACTCGTCGTTTCACTCGACACGAATCTGACCGCTACATTCGTGTCAAACCAAATTGGCGCAAACCCAAGGGTATTGATAACCGTGTTAGACGTCGTTTCAAAGGCCAACGGAAGATGCCAAAAATTGGTTATCGAAATGCTCGAGTGACACGTCATATGTTGCCTAGCGGTTTTCGAAAAGTTTTGATTCACAATGTTAAGGTTTTCTATTTATTTTTTTTATTTTTAAGGATTGGAGGGTTCTCTGAAAATCTAATAGATTTTATTTTTTAAAGCTGACGGGGTTGAGTTTCCCGTGCATTACAAAAACTGGGTATCTTCTTAAGAGGAGCACTTGTTGACCCTATCCCAAAAGAAGGGCGGAATCGTTTTTTCATTACCTGAAAGGAAAATGGAGACGAACAAACTCGGATATACACAGCATGGACAGCCAAAACACGAACGGACTCGGACAGACGTCCGTATTTGGTCTGACCCGAGCCTGTCTGTGTTTTGTCTGTCCGTGATTTGTATGTCCGAGTCTGTTCGTCTCCATTTTTCCTTTCCTTTCAGGTAATGAAAAAACGATTTTGCCCTTCTTTTGGGATAGGGGCACTTGTTTATTTGGCAAAGACATCTTTTAATTTTTGAAATAGGATTGTTTGCTTTGGGTAGAGAGGGAACGGGTCCCTATTAATGTCTTGGCTCGGTTCAGTTAAGTAAACAGAGCTTGGAATTAGGGTTGGGCTTCGAACGCTCGAGGGCGGGTATGTCCGGGTACGGGGTTTTCCAATTGTTTCGGGGCGGGGTACGGGGTCGGGGATATATCTGAAAAAATCGTTCGGGGTCGGGGCCCAACTCTACTTGAAATCCATAGGATGTGAAAACGTATGGTTCTGTCCTTATAGTTAGATGGGGGTATTTTGACTTTGGTCTAGACCTAAGTCGATCCCCTTTTGTAAAAATTGGGATTAGCCAGAAGAGAATATCAACCCATTCCCAACTAGGGTTGGGGGACTAATTTGGTTCGGTCCGAAAGATCGAGTCGGGCCTGCCCGATAAAAATTGAGGCTCGAAAAAAGTGACTTGGACGTCGGACCGACTTGAAAACCACAACCCTAATTCCAACCCGAAGACCCACTCGTGTCAATGACCTGGCAGACCTTGGGCGAGTCCAAGCTTTCTAAAAATCTCGCTTTTTAACCTTAGGGAAAGCAAATTACAACAATAATAAGTTTGTTTTTAAGGATTTGGATGTTCTTCTAATGCAAAACAAGCAATATTGTGGTGAGATTGGGCATGCTGTTAGCTCAAAGAAGCGAAAGGATATTGTTGAACGGGTATATTTTTTGAAGTTTTTATTTTTCTGAAATTTTGTTTTCAGGCAAAACAATTGCGAATTACTCTGACCAACGGCAACGCTCGTCTTCGTACAGAGGAGAATGAATAAAAGAGAGTTTAAAAGTTAAATAAAGTTCAACACATTTTTTTGTTGTTTCTGTTGAATTTTGAAAAGGGTTATTTTTGTTGCTTTGTCTAAAAATAAAAATATTTAAAAAGGGCTTTTTGTTTGATTTTCTAAAGGTTTTGAAAGCCTTAAAATTTTTTTTTTTAATTATTTTGTTTGCAATTGCTTCTGGATTTTTTCCTTTTAATTTTTTTGGCGATTCATTAGTTGAGGAATTTGGAAAGTTGTGGGGGGAATTTGGGGCTTTCCTAGGATGTTTCTTCTTGGAGTGTTTTTTTAGAGATGATTTAAAATTCTTTTTGGATGCAATCACAACATTTACCGGACAAACTCAAGATCCCCTCAACTTTCCAACCTCGCCAAATTTTGACTTGCTTATATTCTCCATTCTCGTTAATTAAAAATTATTTTCAGCCTTTTATATAGAATAAAAGATGCGACCTACACAAATTCTTATATTAGACGAAGAAGAGGAAACTCAAAATAATGGATCAAACGAGTCAATTCCTAACAGTTATTTGCGCTCTCAATCGCCAGGAATGCTGGGTACTCCAACTTCTGGATTGATTAGTGGAAGAGAGGTTTCTTTTATTATTGGGATTTGGGTCGTGAGTAGTTTTTGTTACGTGGGCGAAAACCCAAACGAACATAGCAGTTAGAGAACAGCCCATAGCCGAAAACCTGAAGTACAGGTTAATGACCGGTAGGGGACAACCCAGCAATCTACGGATTGGCTAGTAAGATACGATTGGGCGCTACTTAAGATGAGGGTGCTGGTGCCTTTTTTCGGTAAATATGTAAAATATGGTCAGTCACCAGCACACATTCATCTTCCGTAGTGCCTCGTATTGCTATCAATCGGTCATTAACCAGTTACCCCGGTTTTCTGTTATGGCTGGTTCTCGACCCTCAGTTTTAGGTTGACTAATCAATCAAACAAAATTTATGTTTGAGGAATACCCTTTTTTGGTGGTTTTCACGGACTTTCCAATTCTTTTTTCACCTTATTTTTCTATTTTCATTCCAACATCTAACAATTAACAGTTCAATTTTACATTAATTGTAAGCTATAAAAACATCCCCTACTCCGTCAGATTGAAAAATAATGTAGGACACATTTAGAGAAATAAGTGGGGAAGTCTACGCTTTAGAGGGCTTTAAAAATTTTAGGGGAAAAGTCACCAAAAACCAATCAACTAAAAAATATATTTTTCAGCATCATGTAATGCATATTCAAAGTGGACATTCTTCACCTCGACAAAATGCCTTTAATTTTGGTTCAACCAAATGTATTGCTCAATCACCATCGAATAATACAGCTTCTCCGTTGCGTCGTAGACAACCTCCACCGCCATTGCATTTGTGCAATTCTGGAGAAAATAATAAAGGTTTTTATATTTTATAGACTGTGGGTTAGGTTGGATATTCCTCGACCTTTTTCGTGTGTGTTGGGGTTTTACGGTTGGATTTGGGTTGCCAAAAATTTGGTCATTATTGGGGTGGGAGGATTCAATTTTAGCTCTGGGAGGGGGTATCGATCCTGCAACCGGCTAGCAGTTTTTGCTGTAGGTTTTCGTTCACTCGCGGTGAAGGTGCTCTACCCGCTGATTTGAGCTATCTGGGAGCTGTTTCTGCCTTCCCTTTAATAGATTTAAAAACATCTAGGGTTTGTGGTTCCTGGGAAATCTTCTGATGTTCCATCTTGAACGGACTTTTTTCTATTTCGGAAGCCAGACAGTCAACCTTTCTGTCCTGGAGTAAATTGACGTTCCGAATTTCGAAATATAATAGGAAGGAAAAAGTCCGTTTCTTCCAGGAACGGCCAACTCTAGTCAAATCTTACAATTTTAAGTATTAGCTGGGTCTCCCTTCCTTACAATATTACGAAGGTTTTCAAATGATTACTTTTTAATTTAAAAATTTTTTTGTAGCAATTTCAGCCCAGTCAAGACAAAGTATTTGGGTGCCGCGTCAATTTGCTTTTGCTTGTCCCAATTCTATGCCCATGCATCGACGACATTTACAGCAAAGACAAATTTTATCTAATGCGATGATGCAACATTCAAATGACCAAAAATATGTGAGGAAAATAAAATTTTTTGGTTAAAATTTTTGAGAGGTTTGAAGTTTTTTTGGGTAGAATATTTTGACTATTTGGGGATTTTTTTCGGATTTTTCGATTTTTTTCCGTATTTCTCCCCAATTTCCCTTGGGTAAATATAGTTTGTAAAAAGATTTGGTGAAAGCAATCTGTGGTTAAGTTGGTAATTCTCTTGGTTTTTTACTTGTAAATTTTGTGTTGAAAAAAGGCAATGATTAAATTTTATATAAAAAGCTTGTGAATGTCAATGATCAGAGCATTATGACTTTCGTTCTCATGAGCCTGTTTTTTAACAATTTTTAAAATTAAAATTCTTTTTTTTTAGTCATTGGATCTATTTTGCTGGGTTTTCTTTAATTTTTGCTAATTTTTTAGAGAGTTTTCCCTGACATCTGTGAACCCGGACTTGCGGATAACATTTGCGGACTTTTTTTTAGAAAAAAGTCACTTTTTTGATCATCCTTCTCCTAATCCCCCCCTCATGGATATGCCCTTGTGCCTTACATCTTTATTTTTTTACCCTGATTTTATCCTTTCACTTTATTCTTATCTGCAGATATTTTGTCTGCAAATGTCGTTTTAAAAATTAAAAAAAATTCTTTTCCCCATTAAAAAAATTTTCTTTTTTTTCAGAATTATGAACAAAAATTTCAATATCACCACCATCCAACTTTACCTGTAACTCGTTCAAGTAGTATAGCAAGAACGGATGGTAACAATTCAAATAACAACAACAACAGCTTCCCTCAAACAACATTTAATAATTTACTTGACAATAATAATACGGGAAGTCTGCCAAGATTAAATATTTGTAATAAAAATAATTATGAAGATGGAAGACAACAACATAATTTTCAACATGTTGGAGGAGTAACTGGTGGTGGCGGTTCTGTTGGAAGGTGAGTGGAAATTTTTTAAAAATATTTTTTGTATATTTTTGGGTTTCGAGGGGATTTTTTAAACATTTTCCTTTATTTGAATCTCAATTTGGAATTTTTTTCTTGATTTTCGTCTTGTGGATTTAATTGTATAAACTTTGTAATTTCAAGATCGGAAGCTTATTTTAGAAAAAAAATCAACGCTTGTGAAAAAAAATAATAATTGACAATGAGATTCAAATTAGGATTGAAAAAACGGGGATGGATATTGTACTACCCTATTTTTCTAAAATTGAAATTTTTTGCAATTTTATTTTTCAAATTTTTTTGTTTTTTAAAATTTTTTGATTTTTTTTTAATTTTTTTTTGCTTTTCATCTTTATTTTTATCTTGCTTAATTTATTTTACCTCTATATTTAATTATTTAATTTTATTTTTTTCTATTGTTAAGGGGGGAGTAGACTACTACTCTACAGAGACTACAGAGTAGTAGACTACTACTGACCATCAATAAATAAATATATACTGCTTAAAAAAGCTTCGATTAAAAATTTATTTATAGCAGCTGCTTTTATTTTTTTCCCTATTCTAATTTCCTTTTATTAAAAATATGAACAGAAAATAACAAAAAAAAATAAAAACACAAATAAATAATGACCATTCTCTCTTGTCGCTTATTTGCTTTTTTTGGCCTAAATATAAAAATAAAATGAGAATAATAAACCTGTTGCGCTAAAAATATTTTGTTTTGAGTATTTTTCTTTTACTCTATAAAGGAATATACTAAATCAGAATGTATTTTGTATTTTTTCCAATTTTTGATGTGTTTTTCTAGTAACACCAGAATATGTTCCGGAAAAAATGTGTTTTCTTTTATTTTTAGTTTATTTCGGATTTCTTTTAACTTCTGATTTTTCTTTATTTCTGAATTTAATTAATTTATGCAAATCAGAACTTTTCTGTATTTTTATTTTCCTTTTTGTATTTTTTTTAATTTCAGAAAATGTGTTTCTGTATTTTTATGTGACTAATCCGGAAAAGTAACATGTTTCCGGAAAAATGTGTTTTTCCATTTTAAGTTTCTGATTTTTCTCTGATTTTTTCTAATTTTTAATTCTGATATTTTTCTGATTTTATTTCTACTTCTGATTCTTTTGTTTATTTTCTATTTTGAAGCTGTTTCTGAAACTTTCTGAAACTGCTTCCTTTTTGTTTTAAGTCTTGCGATTATTTTTATTTTTAAATTTTATTATTTTTGAAAATTTTGCAAAAAAATTTTTCTTTAATCTTTTGCATTATTCATTATTTTTATTATTATTTTTGGAATTTGACCTTTTTGTTTGCACTTTCTTTTTTATTTTTATTCTTTGAAAAAGGTGCCTTGCATGGCTAATGGTCATTCAATAGCTTTTATTTTAATTTTGGAATAAATTTTCTCTTTTATAAATGAAAATATTAAACACACTTTTATGTTTATTTTAGTGCCAAAATTTTAGAAAAATATTTTAAAGTATATTTGAATTTGAGGACATTAATTATTCTAATGGTGTTTTTGGATTAGGCTAAGAATAAAGAATGTGAGGGAGATTTTAGCTATAAAATGAGAGATTTTTCTATCAGTAATTGCCAAGGGGATTTTGCCAAGGTTTTGGGATCTGGTCAAGTAAGTACTTAGGTTTCGGGTCTGGTTTTAAAAAATTTCTCGGATCGAAAAATCGGATCTCGGGTATCTGTGATATCCATGCCTTAAAGGCGTATGTATACTATGACGAGACTTTACTAACGTTTTTTTTCTTGAAAATAACAAATTTTTAATAAAAAAAAGCGAAAAAGTGCAAGGAAATTAACACAATATTACTTTTACCCTCCACTATTGTTCTTTCTCCTCCAAAAATTTCCCTTTTTTCTTGGCTTGTTCGTTTTATATTTTATTTATTTTTAATTTTTTTTTTGTTAAAAAGCTTTTTATTACCGCCTACTGGGTTATTTATTTTTTTTCAAAATTCTTTCCCGTTCATTTTATTTTTGCATGGTTCGATGAGTTATAGGTCGCACAGACTTGGTAAAGAGACTGGATTAGAGATTTTTAAGCTTTTTGTTTATTTGGATAAGCTAGTTGGATGTTGTTCTTTTTTACCTTTTTTCAACAACAAGGCTGGGAAGTTTTATTAAAAAATTTTTTTGATTATTTTTTGTTGATTATTTCAGTCGGCCCCTGAGTTTTTAAATACTACTCGAAGGGGTATTTTCTATTGGGAAGTTATCGCTTTTTTAGTTGAAATATATGTATATCCGAATAATTATTTTTTCTTTTTCTATTATTAATGTATTAATTTTCTTTCTTTTTTTAGCATTTCTAAAAAAGATCTGCGCAAGCTAGAACAATTAAAATTGATTTATTCTATTTCGTTTATTTTTTTGTTTAATTAATTAGTTTTTTCGGTGATTTTTATATTATTTTAAAAGAATTTTTTAATTACCTGATTTTTTTATTATTTTTTTGATAGTTTTTGAAATTATATTTTAATTTATATGTATTTTTTATTTCTTTAAATTTAGGCTATTTATTTTTTAAATTCTAGTCTGAAACGAATCATTAAATTTTGTGTTTAAAAAACAAAAAATTTTCAAGTTTTGTCAATTTTTTCAACTTTATCCACTTTAAAAAAATTTTTTTATTACAAACAAAAAATTTCTCTAAAAATAAAGATTTTTTATTTGCTTTATATTTTTATTATTATTATTTTTCAATATTCTATTAGCAATCGTTTTTTGTATGTTTTTTTATTTCTTTTCGCAAACATTTTGGAATATTAAGTAGAAGTGGAAAGGGGGTTAAGCAAATTCTTTTTTTTCTTTTTTTCATTTTCTTTTTTTTATGTAGCGGTTTTTTTGTCTGTTCTTTTTTAACTATATTTTTTGTTTGTTAGAAAAAAATTTTTTTCCTTATTTTATTTTTTAATATTTGGATATTTTTGATGTCATTATTTTCATTCATTTTCTTTGTTGGTATTTTAATTAGAGACTGGACTAAGACGTTATCACGAAAAAAATTCGGTAATTCCAAGGCTGGTCCCCCCCTTTTTTTTCCTTTCTATTTTTTTCGATTATTTAAACTTTTTATGGCAAATTACATCTCATTCGAAAGAGCTCTTCGAGCTGAGTCGAACGGTACTAGATTCATCGAAATCCGACTTAAATAAACATAGCTATGAGCATTTGTTTTAATCCCTTTCAGCATCACAAAAAGCACGTCCTTCGAGGATTTAGCTTCATAAATCTGTTCAGATTCGCCAAATCTAACCGATCATAGTATCATTCTACTCAGCTCGAACAGCTCTTTCGAATGATATATTGAAAATTATATGCCAAGCAAAAAGCTCAAAATGGTCAGGGGAATAGAAAAAAAAGGGGGGGGACCAGCCTTGGAATTACCAAAAATTCTTGGTTATCGAGATTAATATTTTTTATATCTCGATTTTTTTACGACTCTCCCAGTTTGGTCTCTAATTTTAATATAATTTTTTTAATTTTTTAAAATTTTCTCTGGCGTTTTATTTATTTTTTATTATCATGCTTAATCTCTTTTTTTTTAATTTAAACAACTGTTATATGTTTAAATAAAAATAGAAGAAATTAAATCTTTATTAATCAAAAAAAAAATATATTTTACTTACTCTCTACTATTTTTTTGACACTCAAAAAAAAATTTTTTTTTAAATAGTAAAGGAGATTAATAAAAAAAAAATTTAAAATAGATATATATTTATTTATTCTATCTATTAATCTTTAAATATGTTTCCTTAAAAAAATGTTTCTTAATTTAAAAGAAATTTTTTTTAATTCTTGTGTTTCTTTTAATTCTGATTTTTTAAATTTACTTTACTATTTTTATTCTTGCATATTTTTAGCTATTTTTTAACATTTTTAATACATGTACTATAATTTGATTTTTGTTTGCGGCATGTTAAAATTTATAAAATATTTTTAATTTATTTGTTAGGTAGATAAAAAATGACGTCTTCTTTCCTCCGTTCTCTCTTTTCATGTATTCTTATTTAGAAAATTTTTATTTTTTTTATTTTTACGATCCAAAAACCACGAAACACCACTATCAACTACCTCCCCCTTCCATTATACCAAAACTACTGCTAACATATAACTAAATTTGTTTGTTGTGTTAGCATATATATTTTTTATTTCTTTTCTTCCAAATTTCCTTTTTTTCCCCAAATTTTTATACAACAAACACAAAACACGTCTTCGCCCACGTTAAATCCATATAAAACTAAAATAAAGATGATATTTTATATATTTTTGAATAAAAAAATTTTTGGGGATTTTTTTTTGAATTTTGGTGTTATAATTTTAATAAGACGAGTTTTTGGATTTTTTCTAGTTAAAAAAAGCATTTTTATAATTTTTACCCATCTACATATTCTGACCTGCTTTGGTATATTTATCCTCTATCTTTTCATTTGGATTTTTTTCTGAATTATTTCTTTAAATTTTTACTTTATAATTTAAAAAAAATTTTTGTTGAATATTTATGAAACAATTATAAGGAATAATTTTGTATTTGGCTATTTTTAATTATTTTTTTTTTGTTTTGGGCTTTTTTATTATTTTTATTTAATTAGTAAATATTTATCTAATTAATACATATTATTTTCATTTATTTCCGTTTTACAATTTTTTCATATTTTTTTCCTCATCTTTAGCACTTTTTTAAAACACACAATTTCTCTTTGAAATGTTTGGGTCCTCTTTTCTCTTTTTTTCTACTACATATCTTTTTTTTTTGAATGATGCTTAATATTCTTATCTCCATTTTAAGTAGTAACAATTTTTACGTAAAAATATTTTTTCCTTTCTTTTCTTCTCTTTTGTTTCCCCAAAGGCTTTGAACTCTCTCCAAAAATTGTCTCACATTTACACTTTTTTTTACAAATTTTTGTTTCTTTTTTTTTGAAAAATAATCCTTTTCTTGTGAATTGCTTTAAAAAATTTTTAAAGTGTTTAGGGCTTTTCTTTTTAAATTTTTTTTGTTAAAAATTTTATTTTTTAAATTATTTTTTAACTACAATAAATTTATGTTAGATATGCGCGCTCTTGGCAATGAATTTCCGGAAATCTTTAAACTTGTTTAAATTTTTGTGTTTTTTTTTCGAAAAATACCCATTAAAATTATTTATTAAATTTACGGAAAATACTTTAGTGTTTTTACATAACAGAATTAACTTTTAAAACTTTTCCGGAAACTTGTATTTTTTTATTTTTAAATTTCGGAACTATAAAGAAAAGATTTGAGTTAATTTAAAAAATTAATTTTGGTAACTGTTTTAAAATTTAACCACTATAACAGATTTCCGGAATTTTGATGAAGAGTCGACTTAAGCTTTAAAATTAATTTTGGGTGACTTTTAAAAATTAAAAAAGATTTTTTTTATTTAATATTCCCAATTTTTAACCTTTAGTGTGTATATTCGATTGTGTTTTGTTACTATAAAATACTCAATTGAATTTTACTTTAAATTTAATAAAATTTTAAAAGGGGGAAAAAAACTTTTTTTGTCATCATTTTTATATTTTTTATTTCTTTAAATTTTTTTGGTAAATGTCCGGTTGGTGTCCTACATGTCCGCAAAGGGAATGCGCATTTTTCCTTCTCTTTCTTGCATTTTTTACTTTGAGTGGCGCTCGCTGATTTTTCCTTCTCTGTTATAATATGCCTTTTGGCACTTGGAAGAAAAGGGGAAAAATATTAAAAATTAATAATAAAGTACAAATAAATATTTGATTTTATAAATGAACAGATGAAAAATTTGGGATAACATTCTCAAATAGATTCCTAAAATATCTAGGAGATAGGAGTTTATGGGAGGTTCTATCCAATCCGTCCTTTATGATTTAAGGGTTATATCAGTTATATTTTATATGTTACTTTACATCAGCATCTATGATGTAACTATAAAGACCAATAAGATGCAAGGAAATCATTATATATTTTAATAATAGGATTAAGTGTAGCTTCATCTCTCTTGCGTAGCTTCATCTCTTTACTTTCTTTCCATAGATTTTCACATTGTTCATTATGAATTTTATTAATTTTTAATATTTTTCCCCTTTTCTTCCAAGTGCCATAAGGAATTTTATAACAGAAAAGGAAAAAGCAGCGAGCGCCACTCAAAGGAAAAAAATGCAAGAAAGGGAAGGAAAAATGCGCATTCTCTTTGCGGACATGTAGGACACCAACCGGACATTTACCAATTTTTTTTTATTATTTTACGATTTTTTGTGACTTTTTTTTCTATTTTTATCTTTCCTCCTTTCATTTTTTTAAAATTTAATTTATGATTTTTTTTTCTTTCCTTTCAGAGAATTACCTAAACATTTACTACTTAAACAGCAACCTCCTAGTATTGGCGGTGGAGGTGCACATTCCTCTTCTTCTACTACTGCTGCTGCTGTTGGTGTTACGGAAATGCAATTACATACTGAATGGTCTGAACAGCAAAGGCGACGTCTTTATCGAATTGCTTTAAATTTTTTTAACAAGTAAGTTAAGGGGAGAAATATTTCCGGAAATCCTTTCTCAGCTAGTTAAACATTTTTGTGTTTTTTCCGGAAATAGAAATATGTATTTTCCTTATTTATTAAAAATCCGGAAATATATACGTGTTTCCGGAAACATTGTAGAGTATTTTTCATGTTCCGGAAACATGTATTTTATTTTTTAAGTGAGTGTTTGTGTGTGTATTTCCGGAGTGTGTTTTCCGGAAAGAATAATTAAAATAAACTTTTATGGAAACATTACAGGATAAATAAAAACTTCCGGAAATGTTTAATAAATATTTTTCCGGAAAAGTTGTGTTTTATTTTTCCAAGCCGACAATATTTGTGTTTTTCCGGAAATATTTTAAAAAGTCTTCCGGAAACTTTGTGTATTTTATTTTAAATTCAGAACCTTTTCAACTTTTTCGTAATTTTCCGGAATTCCATTATTTATTCCTGAAAACTTTATTATTTGGTATTTTTGAATTTGTAAAGTTTCTTGTGTTTTCCGGAAAATTTTTATTAATCTTTTAATTTTTGTATTTTATTTTTTAAGAAAACCTGATCGCGGTATTCAATTACTTATTCGTTGGGGTTTTGTTGAAGAAAGTCCTCCAGTAATTGCTCGACTTTTTAGAGAGAGACGAGGTCTTTCACGACAAATGATTGGAGAATATTTGGGTACTCTTCGTTCACCTTTTCATAAAAAAGTTTTGGAGTAAGCGTGAATTTATAATTTTGTTTATTTAAATTTTATTTTAGACACTTTATTTCTGACCTTCCAATGCATAATGTTGAGATTGATATAGCTTTACGTCAATTGCTCAAACATTTTAGACTGCCTGGAGAAGCACAGAAAATTGACCATATTATTCAGGTTTTTTGTAAAATTTTTTTATTTTCTAACAACTGATATTAAATATCTCCTTGGGGTTTCACTTTTTAACTCATCCTGGGGTGCAGCTGATATATGTTTACGAGTAGCTCTCCCTTTAAACAAAAACTTTCTAAAAAAGAATTTTAACTTGAAGTTAGAACTGTTAGAAAAAAATCTTTGAAAATCGAATTTTCTAATCAAACCAAATCGAGGATATATAGTTCAGGGATGTTACGGGGTAAGAAAAATATCGGGTGGATTTTCAAAATTTGTTTTGTATTATAAATATTTTTTAGCGTATTTGATTTCGGATAAGCTTATAGCGAATTTCGACTTTATTTTACTTTATATTTATTAAAATCATTAAATTTAAACATTTTTTTTCAGACATTTGCTCACATTTATGTAGCTTACAACCCTCATCTTTCTTCAAAAAATGGTTCTGATAGTATGTATATTTTGGCATTTGCTGTAATTATGTTAAACACTGATTTACACACACCTTCATTAAAAGACTCTAGAAGGATGAAATTGGATGAATTTATTAAAAATTTGTGTAGAGTGGAAGAAGGCAAAAACTTGGACAAGTTTGTATTTTTTTAATGAATTTTATAGGGTATGGGGCTTCGGTTTATGCTTTTCCTATTTTCTTTTTTAACCTTTTGACAACTAAAAAAATAATTTGGAGGTTAAACACGAACATCCACTTTGATTTAATCTTTTTTTTGATTGATTAATTTATATTAAATAGTTGTCAGAGGAGTTAAGAAGAAGGAAAGAAATAATAAGGGACTGGTCCATAAAGTATTTTTTTGGGGTAATTTATATATTTTTTATTTTTTTTTGTTGGTTCAAGAACATTGAGGGTTAAAATAATTTTTTAAATTTTTATTTTTGTGTCAAAGTTCATTTAGATCTTAAATTAATTTTTGCCTTACATTTTCTAATAATTAAAAAATAAATTTGTTTTTAATTTTTAGAAAAATGCTTGCTGGCATATATGAAAGGGTAAAGGAATTTGAATTTCGTACTGATCAGGACCATGTGTCTCAAGTATTGAAAATTGACCAATGTATTGTTTCCAAGGAGAAACAGGTAAAAATACATATTATTTTTTATTTTAAAATTGACTAAAATTGTTTTAAAAAAATTTTTTATTATTAAAAACATTGGTTTGGTTTATAATGTTTTTTTATTTTTTCTAAAAATGTTTTAAAAAATTATTTGGGAGGTGTGGGGTTCGAACCCACGCGGCGATAAACGCCAACAGATCTTAAGTCTGTCTCCTTAACCACTCGGACAACCTCCCTCTTGTTGAGTATTTTCTAAAAAGAGCTTTTTCATTCATTTATTTCACAAGTGAAAGAGAGACTATTTTATTTTGTATGTTTTTCTAGTGCATTATTTTAGAGAAATTAAATAAGAATTTTTTGAATTTTTAATTGAAAATTTTAACAAAAATTTTGAAATTTTTAAAATTTATTTTTTTTTCATAATTTTTTTTATTAAAAATTTACATTTTTTAAATAATCAAAAAAAAATTTTTTTCAGAAACTCACTGAACCTCATCGTAGACTTATTTCCCATTGTATTGTTCATCAAATAATAGACCAAAATAAGAAGCAATCTTCTTCAGCTCATATGCGTGAAATTATTCTTTTTAATGACATTATGCTTGTTTGTAAATTAATTGGTGGAAGGTTAATAAGTTATGAAAATTTTCAAAAAAATTTTTTTCGATAGGTCTAGGGTGCTAAAAATATTTTTAAAAATTTTTTATTTATTAAAAATATTTTAAAAAATTATTTGGGAGGTGTGGGGTTCGAACCCACGCGGCGATAAACGCCAACAGATCTTAAGTCTGTCTCCTTAACCACTCGGACAACCTCCCATATGAACAATTTTAATTTATTTTGTCTGTTATTCTTTTATTTTAGGCTCTCTTATTTTTATTTCTTTTATTTTAGGAAGCGCTCAATTTCTTCAAGCAATCGAATGGACCAATATCAACTTAGATATTTTAGTTTATTAATTGGTTTACAAGTTCAAGAATTTCAAAATTCGATTTATCAACATGCTTTTTTACTTACCTTTCCTGATGGACAATCAATGATGTTTAATGCTAAAAATAATGATGACAGGTAAAAAATCATATATATTTTTTGGGGAGGGGAAAAATTAAAGCAAAGGAAAAGTTTTTTTGAAATTTTTTGGAATTTTCTTTTTGATTTTTTCAAATTTTTCTTAAAAAATTATTTGGGTAGAAAAATTGTCTATTATTTTATCCCTATGACGCGCCGAACTTTGCAAATTCTAATTTGCGAGCCGGAGTTTGCGGATCCGAGATTCTCATGGATTTCGAAAAGTTCAAAAATTTAAGTTTGCGGCGCTTCAGTATTCTACAGGGCTGGGCTTATTTTGCAATTTTGCGTTTCGCATCTTTCGCATTCTCGCATTTTTTAGCGCGAAAAGTTTAGATTCACTACTGTCGAAATTCAAGATCGCAGCTTTAAAAACATGAATACAAAATAAATCTATTAAATAAATCAAACTACATTTTATCTGCTACAATAAATTTTTGGACTAATATAGTCTCAAAAGTTACAATCACTAAAGACAAGTAAAAAATAAAATGTTTTAGTGATTAAAAAAACATTGTATCATTCATAAAAATTGAATGTTGAGAGACAATTTTCTCTTCTTTTTGTGTGATGTGTGGCGTTTTGCACAACTCACTTTTTTTTCTTGGGTGCGGATATGTACAGCGTGCCGTCTAAATCTACGAATGTTTTCTTTTGCTTCATTCTCATGGTTAATATCCACGATTATAATTCGAATACTCGGAATATCCTTGTGGATTGTCACCCTCAACATCATTATCGCGATGTTCACGTTGAGTATGACGACGTTGATTACCATCACGATTGTTACGTCGTTGACCACTTGGATTGTTTGGTTGATTACGACGAGTGCTGTGGTCATGTCTTGATACTTCTTCATGTTGTTCATAAACTGATCCTATTTCTTGGTGGCCATCAACAGATCCTCCATAACCGCCATGACTTGGTCCATATTGGCCATAACCTCAAATATGTATTTAATTAAATTCTTAAAGAATATCAAAAAAATATCTTATTGACGGTCTTTTAGTAGATTTTGGGAGATTGGGGTCTGAATTTGTTGCGAAATTTCAACTTTCTGGCGTTATGTTCGATTTTTGAAATTTTTCAAATTTTGATTGAAATATTTTTAAACGGAATTTTTTCCAAGAATATTATTTAACATAAAATTTTAAAAAAATACCAGAATGTGCGCTAGCACTTGCGTTACTTTCACTTTCATTATCACTTGGTGGGCCTTGTAGATCAATTTCTTCTGCTCCTCCGATGGCATTATTTTGTATATTTTCTGGAAGTTGAAAGTTATATATTTGAGTAATTTAATTAGCCACAAAGCATAATTTGCGTTTGCATGTGGAGTGAAAGTGTTAAGGATTTTAGGCTTTTTTATATACTTTTCTGCTTTGGAAATTATAAGTAAAGCTCGTCTGGCTGAGACCAGAGACTTCCGATTTCCGAAAATTTGAGGTGATTTTTGATTTCTTAGTTCCGACTTTTAAGCCATTTCCAATTTCCGAGAGTTCCGATTTTCGGCACCTTTGTTATTTTCGATCGACCTCTGGTTGGGACTAGTCTTAATTTTAAGTTTAAAATTACGTTGATTCTCATGTTGACCTTCATTATTGTTAGCATGGAGGAAGAATCTACGCATCTCCTCCTGAGGAATTCCATACTGGTTTCCATAGTATGGATGATGACCTTGAACATTAAATCTTGCAGCTGGATTTTCGGGTTGAATACCTCCTTGCGTATTGTCGAATCTTGCAGCAGGATTCCCCGGAACTAAACTTGGTTGTCCATGATGTCTTCCTCTAGTATAATCATTATGTTGCATACATTCGACCACACAGAATGAAGCGACAATGCAAAAAAGAAAAGTTGCCAAAAGTGGCACTTTCATTTTCTTAAAAATTTAAATTGGCAAAAAATTTTAAAAATTAAAAGAAAGGTTTTTAAAAAATTTTAATAAAAAAATTCAAATAAAAAAATTTTAAATAAATAAAATGAATTCGAGTGCGCGCGCAATGTATATAAGGATTTTACTCAATTAAATGAAAGGGCCTCTAAATTTGAAAATGTGGCAATAACAATTTTCGGCTGCCTATTTTGGCTATATTTCTAAGTGTTTTTATCGCAAGCGTTTCCTTCAAAAATGCCCGCGAAATATTGTAAACAAAAAAGCGCGCATAGCTTGCCTGTATGGCATGAGATGTCTGGCTGCTTGTTACTTTTGGTTTCACGTGAAATAAATAGCTGATCATGTTTATGTGTCTAATAAACTTTTATGAGTCCAATAAAAAGTTTATGAGTGCAATCACAATTTTATTTCCCGTGTTGTCTAAATTCCCCAAGTATGTACCAAATGATTTAGAGGATTCACAAAATTAACTTTGTGTTTAACTAATAGGTGATTACACTGCAATGGAAGATTATTAATACCACCATAAGTGGACCATTCATCACTGAACGCATAAACTTTTCATTGAATTTATAAATTTGCATTGGACGCATAAACCTTTATTGGACGCATAAGCTTTCCATTCGCCGCATAAGAGTCCATTGATCGCATAAACTAGACCAGAGCCAAAAATTTTCATTTAAAAGGTATTGCTTTGTGACTGATATTCGGGAATCTATTGCTGAATCAACTGAAATGGAACATTGGCGTATTCACTTGGAAATGGAACGACAACAACATCAAAACAATCATTTGTCTGGAATTGGTGCTCGTTTGGCTGAACATGATTTTCAAATTGGGGGGCAACAACAAAGGGGAGGAATAACAACTACACCAACATCGACACCTACAAGTCAGAAGCAGAATTTACATAGTATAAGTGTTGGAAGTTGTAACAATTCTTCGGCTGGGGCAATGACAAGTAAAAATTTGTAATTTAATTAATTTGAGACAAACTTTTCCGGAAAATATATGAGAGCATTATATCTTTTCTTTAATATTTAATTATTTTTCCGGAATTATTTTTAAATTATTTTTAATTTTCCGGAAACAAATATATTAACGTATGTCTTTCCGGAAGTATTTGAAAGCATGTACAACTTTTTTGGATATATACTAACGTATGTCTTTCCGGAAGATAATTAAAAGCATTTACAATTTCCGGAAATCTGAAACTTTTACAATTGTTTTTTTCCGGAAATTATATTTTTAATTTTCCGGAAATATATATTAATAAAAACTGTTTTTTGGAAACATTTTCCGGAATTGATTAAAAGCGTTTACAATTATTTTCCGGAAACTAAATATATGACGAACAGTTTCCGGAATTATTATATTAATATTATTTATATTTTTCCGGTTATATTCTATAATTATTTATAATTTTCCGGAAACAAAATATTAATAAAAATGTTTTTCCGGAATTGATTATTAAAGCATTTACAATTAGTTTCCGGAAACGAAATATATGACGAACATTTTCCGGAATTATTATCATACTTTTCCGGTTATATTCTATAATTATTCTTAATTTTCCGGAAACAAAATAATATTAAATATTTTTCCGGAATTGACTATTAAAGCATTTATAATTATTTTCCGGAAACTAAATATATAATGAACGGTTTCTGGAATTAATATACTAAAATTATATTTTTCCGGTTATATTCTATAACTATGATTAATTTTCCGGAATATATGACGAACAGTTTCCGGAAGTATTTGTATTTTTCCGGTTATATTCTATAATTATACTTAATTTTCCGGAAACACAATATTAATTAATATTTTTCCGGAATTATTTGTAAAACCTTTTCCGGTTTTAATTTCTCTCACTTCTGTTATTATTTCTCTTTCTTTTTCTAGTGGTAACCACAACAACTGTCGATAGCATTCAACGGGATTCTGGTCTTCCTGATATGGATTGTCATGCTTCATCTTCTGTTGGTCATTCCCATTCAACAATATCCTCAACTTCAATATCTCCATCACCTGCTGACTTCACTTAAAGTTTTTTTTTAAATAATTTTTTTTTGTTAAATCTTTAAATTATTTTCTTTTTGTTGTCAAAAGTCTTTTTCGAGTATATTTTATTTCTTTCATTTTTTGGTACAGTAAAATGAGAATTTTTTTGGAAAAAGTAAAGGAGAAATTCTTTGTTAATTCTCAAGAAAAAATTTTTCTTTGGAATTTTAACTGTAACTAGTGATAGGTATTTTTGAAAAGCCTGGGCCTGTTTCTGGATTTCAGGTTTTGATTTACTGACTTGGGCCGGATCCTGGGTCGGAGGGAGTCCAGGGAAAACCCAGGAAGGACAAAAAATGCCTGGACTTTGGGTACAGGAAAAACCCCTAGGCCTTGGTCCAGACTCAGGCCGATCACTAGTTGTTTCTAGTCGTCCAAAAAAATATTCTACTTATATTTCAAATAAAAAGCATGAGATTCAAAATAACTGATTTTTTTAATTTTTTTGTTTTAGTCAAGAAAATATATTTTTAATTAAATTTAGAAAAAAAAAGAACTTAAATATTTTATTTAAAAATCACTCATAAAAATTATATATTTTATTTAAGACAAACACTTTTCTCTCTCCTATAATTATGATTTTAATTTTTCTTTTTTTTTAACTGATGATATTTTTTGTTGTTTCGTTTTTTTGGTTTAGATATTCAAACGTTTTTGAATATTTAAATATTTTAAAATTAGAGACTGGACAACAGTGAGAGAGATGACAGTGGATTTCCAACAAAAATCTCTCTCGATTATCGAGATTAATTTTTTCGAGATATCGAATTTAGATTCTGAATGTCTTGGGTTACCCATTACTTTAAACCCGGCTTTTTTCAACCAGAAACCTGACTCAACTTTTTTTTCTCAGTCTTTGACATTCTTGATTTTCAATACGCCCTTCCAATAATTCTGTCTCTAATTTTAAATAAATATTTTTAAATATATTTGCTCTGCTCTTGCAATCATTTTTAAATGAAAAAAAAATCTCTTTCAATAAACAGTTAAAATTTTTACTTCAAAAAATCCGCCCATAAATATTATATTTTTTTGTTATTGTTTTTTTTGTACGAATTGACAAATTTGAATATTATTTTATTTAAATGGGAAATTGAACTTTTAAAAAAAATTTTCAGAAAAAAAATTTTTTTTCGAATCGATTTTTTTAGATTTTAGCAGGGAATTTTCGCCGTGGCGTACCAAACGCCATGACTCACATTCCTGATTTTCAGTAAGAATTTTCAAAAAAAATTTTTTTTCTGAAAATTTAAAAAAAAGTTTAATACCCCAAAATTAAAAAAAAAAAATATTTTTTTTTGTTTCAATTGTATGTTTTTAAAAATATTAGAAAAAATCTAATGATGAAGACCTTTTATATGTATGATTCTTTACTTATATATAAAAATGATTAAATATACATATTATATATATTTACATAAAATTATTTAAAAATAAATATTTTTAAAACATTTTATTTTATTTTTAAAGAGTTTAATTTTTTTAAACTACTAAATTATACTTTTAATTTTCAAGGTTATTTAAAAAATTTTTTTTAAATTTATTTTAGATTGATTACTTAAATATCCTCTCCCTTTTAATTTATTTATTCTTTTTTTTTTAATTTTTAGAATGCTTTAGAAAAAAAATTTTTGAAAAATAATTTTTTCCAAGTGAAGGTCATAAAAAATTATTTTTCTAATATTTTAGAAAAAATATTTTTTTTTAATTTTCAAAAAATTTTTTGAAACGATTTTTGTGGCAAAAGATAATTCAGAGTGTTAAAATGTTAAAAACACAAACAGCTGAATAAACTTTTAAACAAAAAAAAATTAGAAGGGAATTCTCTGTTCACTTTTATAAGTAATCAATAAACTGTCAAGTACTGACTAATTACTTACAATTTAAATTAAAAAAACTTTTCAGATTTTACATAATGTTTATTTTTTAATTTTTTTATTATTTAATTTATTCTAAAAACAACAACAACAACAAGAAAAACATGGTTTGGATAAAACCGGAATATTTATTGTTTGGTCAAACATTTTGGTTTGTTTTTGTTTTTAATTTATAAAACATTAAAAACATTGTTACAAACATTCTGGAAAAATAAACTTTACTGAATGTTTTTCCGGTAAAACATTTGCAAGCTTTGTTTAAAACATGTTGCCGAACATTTTCCGGAAAGTTTGTTCATTTAAAAATATTTTTCCGGAAAAACATCCAAACATTGTTTTTATTTTTTGAACATTTTCCGGAATGTTCGCTTAAAAAGTTTTTCCGGAAAAACATCCAAACATTGTTTTTATTTTTATAAACATTCCGGAAAAACATTTAAAAGTTTCATCAAAACATGTCAACAAACTTTTCCGGTAACTAAACTTCATAAACACAAAACATTTTCCTGGATTTGTTTATTTGTTTAGAACATTTTCCGGAATGTTTGTTTCCCGGAAAGTTGAAAACAAGTTTTTTTCCGGAAAACATTTTTATTTTTAAAAAGTTTCATGTTTATAAAAAGTTTCATGTTTTATTTTTAAGGCAGAACGAACGCTCAAATAAATATTTTATTTTACAAAAACGGAAAGGACATGATACTGGCAGTCCTTGTACAACAACCGAATTAATTGATGGACAACACGATCGACAGGTTTTTAAAGGATTTTCTAAATTAATTTTTAAAAATAATTTTTTTAAAGAAGACAGGGTCAGTATCTACAAGAAATACTTCAACTAGTTCTGATGGAAATCAGTCAAGTTTGGGGGCTCTATTCGTTTCTACATTCGATGCAATATTTGACACGCGTCCACCTCCGTATAGAATTCTTTATCAACGGGATTTGGAAGATGGGCAGATTGCTTATAGTTTGTTTTTTTTCTAAATAATTTTTGTTTTCAATGTTTTTCCGGAAAGTTGTTTCGTAAAATGTTTTAGTATGTTTTAAGGATGTTTAGTGTATTTAAATTGTTTTCCGGAAATGTTTGGTGTTTGTATGTTTATTTGAACATGTTTTAAACAATTAAAAACATTTTCCGGAAAATGTTTTAATTATTACTAAACTTTTCCGGAAACTTTTTATTTATTTTTCTCTAAATTTGTTTTCCGGAAAATGTTTTGTTTTGATTATATTTTGTTTTAATTTTAAATTGTTTTCCGGAAAAACAATTTATTTTACCTGAACATGTTTTTATAAATAATAAAAACATTTTCCGGAAAGGTGTTTTGCTCTCTTTCTCTAAACTTTGTTTTCCGGAAAATGTTTTGTGTTTTATTTTTTATTATTTAAGTTATTGCTGTAGCTGTTGATTGGGAAGAAATAATAAAAGACTGGGATGTTTTGGAACAAACAATTATGCCTGTTTTAAACGCTCTAGAAGACAATGAAGAAGAATTGGCTAAATTTGTATTAAGCAAAATTGAGGGTTTATTGGCTTCTAAAAATGAAGAAATTGATAAAAATAAAAAGGAGGAGAATAATTTGGATAAAAATGAAGTAAAAAAGGAAGAAAGTAAATTGTTGATGTCTTCTTTGGATGATAAGGATGAGGAGGAAGACGAATTGGAACAAGTTACAAATGCAGCAATTCTTCGAAAATTTCAAAAACTTTTTGAAATGTCGGCAGATGAGAAGCTTGTTAATTGTAAGAAATTAAAAATGTATTTTTTGTGTTTTTCCGGAAAGATTTTGTATTTTTGTATTTTCCGGAAATGTATTCGTATTTTATGGAAAGTTTTCGTATTTTCCGGAAACATTTTGTATTTTTCCGGAAAGATTTTTGCATTTTCCGGAAATGTATTTTTGTATTTTCCGGAATTTTTTTGTATTTTCCGGAAATTTTTTTGTATTTTCCGGAATTTTTTTGTATTTTCCGGAAATTTTTTTGTGTTTTCCGGAAATGTATTTTTTGTGTTTTTCCGGAAATTTTTTTGTATTTTCCGGAATTTTATTTGTATTTTTGAGAGAATTCTTGTTTTAAAAATTTTAATTTTTTCTTTTCAGATTATTCCTGTAGTTATTGGAAAGGAAACAAGCCATTTCAAGGCAAATTATATTTATCTGTCAATTTTCTATGTTTTTATTCTTTTATTGTTGGAAATGAATTAATTGTTAAATTGAGATGGACAGATGTTTTGGTAATTTAATTTGGAAAATATTTTTATAAACAAAATTTAGAAAATGTCTCACAACAATTCTATGCTATCCAGAAGTCTTAATGTTGTAACTAAAGATGGAAGGAAACATGTTTTTTCTGTGTTTATAAACTTTGCTGATGCGTATGTTTTAATGTTTTTATTTTATCCTGAAATTATTACAACTTGTTTTCCGGAAAGAATAATTGTTTTTAAGATTATTCCGGAAAACAAGTTTATTAACAACATATAAAGTAACCAAAATATAAGCTTCCGGAAAATGTTTTGTATTTTATTAATGGTTAGTGTTTTGTGTTTTCCGGAAATGTTTTGTGTTTTGTTTTATTTAATTAAACATTTATTTTACTTGTTTTTCCGGAACATCTTTTATTAATAAAATACAAAATGTTTTTCCGGAAAGTTTCTTATTTGTTTTATTCAAACTATTTTTACAAACATTGTTTTTTTCAGTTATAAACATGCTTCACAACTTGCCAACTTTGCAATGAAACAACTTATAGAGGAGGAAGGTTTCTATGAAGATCCATCACTTCGCAGCAAATATTTACAAGCGCCAACAAGGAAGCGTTCACAAAAATGTAGTAGTGTTACTTTTGTAAAAAAGGATTTGGAAGCAAAACAAAGGACAGACGCTTACAGGTGTGGTGAATTTTTAAAAAAAAATTTTATATTTTTATTTATTGGGGAATATTGTTCTAATAATTAGCATTTCTAATGTTTATTCTAATAATCTAAAAATGTTTTCCGGAATGTTTGTCTAATGTTTCAATGTTTTCCTCAATGTTGTTTGTGTTTTTTTGTGTTTCTTTTCCGGAAAATTTATTTGCTTTGTTTTTATATTTCTAAACTTGTTTTCCGGAATGTTTGTCTAACGTTTTAATGTTTCCGGAATGTCTCTTCACTAGTTTTATTACACTTGATTTCTGATATTTGCGCTTGTGTTTTCCGGAATGTTTTGTGTTTTTATGACAAGCAGTGTTTTGTTTTAATTTTTATCTAAACATTTCTTTTTCTATTTTTCAACTCATAATATCAAATCATCATTTTCATCATCAAATTGTTCTTGTCTATTTTTATATTGTGTTATGCCATAACTTATGTTTAAATCATTATCCATAGTTAAGTAACCAATTGTATAGTTTTTTGTATTTAATAATTTTGTTAATTGTTGGGCACGTTCATCATTTGGTTTTAAAACATTGACTAGCCATTTTAATAACTGGAATATTAATGTTTTCCGGAATTTTGTTTTAGGAATTTTTTTGATGTTTTGTATGTTTTTTGTGAGTTTGTTGTGTTTGTATTTTAAACTTGTTTCCCGGAATCTCTTTAAAAATGTTTTCCGGAATGTTTTGATGTTTTGAAATGTTTTCCGGAATTTTGTTTTGTTCATATTTTACAACTTGTTTTCCGGAAATATTGTTTTGTTCATGTTTTAATTGTTTCCCGGAATCTCTCTAAAAATGTTTTCCGGAATGTGTTTAATATTTTGTCATGTTTTCCGTAATTTTGTTTTGTTCATATCTTACAACTTGTTTTGTTTTATGTTGTTCATGTTTTTAAGCTTATGTTTTCCGGAATGTTTCTGGTTTCTACATTTGTTTCATGTTTTGTATTTTATTTGAAAACTTAACTTTTCCGGAATGTTTGTTTTAGGTTTCTCTCTTCTTTTTTAATCTCTCCTCAAACTAACCTCATCTGTACTCCTTTTTGTTCCTAAACTACAAAAATCTTCACTGTATTGTTTAAATAATTTTGCAACCAAAACTTTTTCTCCTTTCAAATCAACTTGTAAAAATTCACTGCTTTTTAAACATTGCCTTGCATTATCACTCAATTCATCATAAATTCCTTCAATGGAATAAGTACGGATTGGAGGGGTTGAACGTGTATAATTATTTAGGCCAAAATGAACAAGAGGTTCACCTCCGCGTATAATGAACTTGAAAAATGATTTTTCTTGTGTTTTTTTGTGTTTTATTGTGTTTAATAATAATGTTTTTCCGGAATGTTTTTCCGGAATGTGTTTTATATTTTGCCATGTTTTCCGGAATTTTGTTTTGTTCATGTTTTAAACTTGTTTCCCAGTGGGATCTCTTTAAAAATGTTTTTCCGGAATGATTTTGTTTTGTATTTTTTGTGTTTTGTTTTTTTTTTGTGTTTTTCTGTGTTTTATATTTGTAGTTTTGTTTCTGTGTTTTTTTGTGTTTTATGTTTTGTTTTGTTTTGTGTTTTGTTGTGTTTTATGTTTTGTTTTGTGTTTTTTTGTATTTTTTTGTGTTTTGTTTTTGGTTTTTGTATTTCTGTATTTTTTTGTGTTTTGTATTTTCTTGTTTTCTATTTATTTTTTTACCTTATTTCTATAATCTTGTTCACCAAAGGGCTTCCACAACATCCCCAAACCTGTATGATTACCACGCAAAATTCCATTAAAAATTGATTGTAATGAATAAAGATGCCCTCCAATATTGTAATAAGTAAAATATAAATACTTTAATTTAAAAATTTTTTTTGAAATTTTTTAAAAAAATTTTTGTTACCTTTCTCCTTTGCCATATAGTTCCGGGCAATCCATATTTATAGCTTATATGTATTAACATTATATTGTATATATTTATAAATATTGCCAATCTTTCTTGTTCGTTAGCTTCAATCAAGTTTAAATAAGCTATTTCTTGAGCTAGTGAAGCATATTCTGTTTGAAATGGTTCAAAATCGTCTAATAAATCCAGATGGACTGTCTGTAAAATTTGTTGTTTTTATTCTGATTTTATTTTGATTTCTGCTTTTATTCTGATTTTTGTTCTGATTTTTCTGATTTTTTAATTTTTTTATTCTGATTTTTAACATCCAAATTCTCACTTATAAAAACATCTAATACTCGATACTAGGGAAGGAACCCTTTCTAAAAAGTTAGGTCGAGTTTCGAATAACCAGTCCTATCCCTGACAGATATACCTCAATTTAAACATTACTTGATTGGCTATTGAGTGAGGGAAGAATATCTGTATATGGGGATATAGAAGTTTTTAGCTTTTAGGATATAAGTTGTCTGGGGCTCTTACCCTTTTATTTTCTGATAAAATTCTTTCATAAATTTTATCAATAACTGAAATGAATCTTTTGTTAAATTCTTTCACGTTTATTTTTGGCTTGTCTTCTGTTTCAAAATTATTTATATCTTCATTTTCATCATGTATCATATTTAAAGGCAATTTTTGATCACTTTCTCCATCCACAAGTTTGTAGTAACTTAATAATTGTTTATGTTGCTTTTGTTTATTTGTTTTGTGTTTTTAAAACATTTTTTCGGTTGGAAACTTGTTCTGAACATGTTTTTTTAGTTGTTACAACATGTTTTCCGGAAAAGTTTTTGTTTAACAGGAAACATCTCTTTCAAACATGTTTTAAAACATGTTGAGAATATTTTTAATATTCTCAACATTGTTTTGTTTATATGCTCCCACTTGTGTTTTCCGGAAAGTTTATTTAACAGAAACATCCTTTACAACATCTCTTGCAAACATGTTTTAAAACATGTTTTTAAAAACAAGTTTTAATTTAAAAATATTCTCAACATTGTTTTGTTTAAATTATTACAATTGTGTGCTTTTCAGGAAAACTTTTTCTGTTTAGCCGGAAACTTAAAATTAATTTATTTTATTTTACCGTTCTGTGCTAAATGATCTTCCCATTTCTGGTAATGTTGTCATTGAACGTCTTGATGTCATTGTTTCCCTATTATTTTCTTTCATCTGTTGTTCATCTATCATTGGTACAGGGCTTGTATTGTCGATTGATCCGCTTCTTTTTTGTTCCATTAATTCTATAACATTTTCATCCAGCAAGTATTGCCCTTTTTGTATTGCTTCACTTCTGTCTTTAGAAAACAAATTAATTTTATTAAAAAAATTTATTAAAAAATTTTTTTATAAAATCTTTTTTTCAAAAAAAATTTTTTTCATACATTTTACTTGATTTCTAAATCGCTGTGCTCTTTCTTGTTGTGTTTTTTGTTCACGATTAGGTTTAGACATGTTTTTGTTTTGAAATGTTTGTTTATTAGTAAATATTAAATTAAAATTGAATGTATTTTCTGAAGCATTAATTATTGTATTTTTTGTATTTTTTAATGTTTTTGTGTATTTTCCGGAAAGGGGGGAATACTCGTTTACGGAAATGTTTGAATTATATATATTTTCCGGAAACATTACAATATAAACTTGAAGAAACATTTAATTATATTGTGTTTTCCGGAAAGGATTTAATTATATTGTGTTTTCCGGAAAAGGATTTAATTATGTGTGTTTTCCGGAAAGGATTTAATTATATTGTGTTTTCCGGAAAGGATTTAGTTATATTGTGTTTTCCGGAAAAGAAATGTTGTGTGTTTTAGAAATGTGCATTTTAAGTTTCCGGAATGTAATTATGTGTTTTCCGGTAAGAAGGTCTTGAGTGTGTTTTTCCGAAAAGTTTATTTGTATTTTCCGTAAAGTTTATTTAATTTTTAAGAGTGTAAAAGTTTAATTGTGTTTTTGTTCTTAATTTTATAAGACACAAGTTTTAATTAAATTTTAAGATTGTAAAAATATCGACTTTTTAAAAAAAACTTGCGCGGCGGCGCTATGCGAATATAAGGTTTTGTGAAACAAGTTGAATGTGTTTGTTATGTTTGTATTTTCTCGTTAAAGAAAATAAAGAATCTCGTTTTATATTGATAATATTAATGTCTTTTATTGGACAAGTTGTGAATTTTTTTTCTTATAAATAAAAATAGTTTTTTCTATTTTATTTATTAGTCAACATTCTTTCTCTCTCTTTTATTTAAAAAAATTTTAATTTTTTTTTATTTTTTTTAAATTTTTTGTTAAGACAACTTTTGTAATTTTATATATATTACTTTTTAAAAAAAATATTTTTTATAATGACGCATGTATTTCCTATGTACTTAAAATTTTAAAATCTAAAAATTACGTTTGTTTGTGTGTGTGTTAATGTGTTTTTGTTAAAGAAGAAATTTTTTGAATATTTTTTTATTTTTTTTCTCCCTATTTTTTTTATTTCTTAAAGCCTTAAGAGGCTTTTTTTTTTTTTTTCTTTATTTTTCCTCTATTAATTAAAAAAATTTTTTTTACATATTTTCTGATCTCGCATAAGCCACGTTACAAAATCTTCTCCTTTAAAAGCCTCCTTATAAATTATTATTCCTTGTGAAAGTGTCCATGTTTGATGTTCCCGTATAAGCCCAGCTCTTCTTATTTTTTGGGCAAAAATTTCCAATTCTTTTTTTCTTGCTCTACTTTCTTCACTTTCAGTTTCTCTTCTTAATCTAATTGAAGGTAATTTTGTTAATTTATTATTATTTTGTTGTTGATGAATAGGTGTTGATGCTACAACAATATCATTCATTTTCTTTATTAGCTTTCATAATTAATTTAAAAAAAAAAATTATTTTTTTTTGCTAAAAAAGAAAATTTAATTTTGAATTTTTAGCAAAAAATCTGCATTTTATTTAATTAATTAATTTTTAAATTTTTTCTGATATAATTAGGTATGCGTGTTGTGCTTATCATAATAAAATATTTTTTAATGGTTATTTGCACATTAAAAAATATTTTAAAAAATCATAAATTTATTGAAAAAAATATTTTTCTGAATAAAATGTTATGTGTTTGGGAGGAGAGGGAAAAAAGGTGATTGAGAAATGCTACAAAAAATCATTTTTAAAATTAATAAAAAAAGAAAAATTAAATTTTTGTTCGTATATAATGACGAATAAAGATTATAAGGAAAATATTTTTTTTAGAAAAAATTTTTTTTGGAATGATAAAAAAATTATTTTTAATAATTACTTTTGTAATATTATCAGAAATTTTTTTTTAACAATGCACAAATTAAATATTAAGGTGTTTGTAGTTTTACAATCCTTTTTTTTATTTTAATTGAAAATGTGGAAACATTTTACAATTAGGAATTGAGATTATTTACTTGTAAAACTTCAAAGTTCAGAATTGTAAAATAATCAAGTTTGATTTGTAATTGTGACGTCAAAGTGCAAAAAAACTTGGAATTTTGAGTTGTAAAAATTATAAGTGAAATAATTTGTAAAAGTTTAAATAAACTTGAAACGAAATAAAACTTGAGATTATCGCAAGTGAAAATATCAAATTGTAAAATTTGGAATTTGAGTTGTAATAACTTTATAATTTATGTTCACACTTGAGATTGTAAAACTTGAAATTATATAAACTTAAAAAAATAAGACTAACACTTTTACGACTAATATATATTGTTTTCCTTAAATTGTTAACATTTTGTTATTGTTTTTGTTAACTGTTTATTTACACTTTTTATCTAAATATTTGATCATTCTTTCATTTTTTCCTTAAATATTTTTTCTACCAAATTTATTGAATTTTTTCTCACTTTTTTTGTTTATTTTTTATATTAAAAAATACATATTTTCTAGATGCCTTTTCTCCCTCCCACATTCCGAACGATTAGACGGTGATCTACCATGTACTCTATATACTCCTTATGATCATCGTTCTGTGCGTGGTCGCCTTTATCTATCACCAAATTTTATTTGTTTCACTTCAAGGATTGAAAGACAAGTTTCTTTAGTTGTGAGTTTTGTTTTATTGTTTTTTTTTGTTTTTATTGTAAACTTGGAAATTAAATAAATAAAAACTTAAGGGAGTGTTAAACTTGAAAACTTAATAAACTTAGAATTTGTAAGAACTTAAGTTTATAACAATTCTTATGTTGTAAAAATATGTGTAAAACCTTAAACTTGAAAATTAAATAAAAACTTAAAACTTAAGATTGCGAATTTGAGAGTTGTGTAAAATTTGAGCAAATAAAGATTGAACTTGAAACTTTAATTATTTAATTTTAGTTGTTATTGTGTGATATTATTTCTATTGAAAAACAAAGAACATTTACTGATTGGTTGTCTGGTGGAATAAAAATATGTTTAAATCTTTCTCCCTTGTTGAGTTTACAAGAAGAACAGTTTAACAATGAAACAAACAATAGAGAATTTTATTTTTCTGGATTGCATGAATTACCTAAAGTTTTGCAACGAATTATAGAATTATGGGAATATTGCAAAAATAATGAACAAATTCGAGTTTGAAAAAAGAAAAAAGATTACCTAATTTAAATTTATTTTTTAGAAAAAATCAAAACAAAATCGCCGTCATTATAGCCCTCGTCAACCGCTATCCGAGCCATTATATAAAACTTTTAATAATGTGAAGTCAATTACAACTTGTTCAAGTTTAAAAACATCTAAAGCATGGGAAAAACTTTTTCATGATTTTGGAAAAGATTATTCAATTTATAGAACTGTTGATATGCATCGTTTGTTGCTTGATGGTATGGTTTGTTTCTGTTTTGTTTTTAATGTTTTTAAGTTTAATCTTGAGTTTTATAAAACATGTAAAAACAAAACATTTTAAGAATTTAAAACATAAACATGATTTTAAGTTTAATCTTAAGTTTTATAAAACATGAAGAAAAAACATTTTTAGGAACTTAAAACATAAACATGTTTTTAAGTTTAATCTTGAGTTTTATAAAACATATAGAAAACAAAACATTTTTAAGTTTTTGAATGTTTTGAGTTTATGTTTTCTTTATTATTTGTTTTATACTTGAAAATGTTTTTGTGTTTTAATTTTTATGTTTTATTTTTTGTTTTAAGTTTGATCTTAAATTTGTTTTTATTTTCATGTTTGCAAAATTAATTTTTAGTGGAAATGTTTTTATTTAAATTTTGTTTGTCTTGTTTTTTATTATGTTTTTATTACTTGTTTGTTATGTTTTTGCATGTTTAAGTTTTATTCCCTTATGTTTTGTTTTATGTTTTTAAGAATGTTTTTATATCTTTTACATGTTTTTGTGTTTATAGTTTTTTTAATTTAATGTTTCTTGTTTTTACATGTTTTTATTTAATGTTTTAATTTCTTAGGAGTTCCACCCGAACACAAAGCCCGCATGTGGGGTATTTGCTCTGGTGCTTATTGTGAAATGCGTTTGAACCCAGGTGAATACCGAGCACTTGTTCACAAAAGTCGTCGTTCTCAAGCATTTGCTGAGTTTACAATGGAAGAGATTGAACGTGACTTGCATCGGTGGGTGCGTTAATTTTTTGAGGGGATTAAACAATGAATTTTATGTCAGGACAGTTCACCTAATTTTCTATCAGGACAATTCACTGACAAAAGTTATACGGTGAACTGTCTAAATTTTGAACTGGCCTAGCGTCTGTTAAATAATTTTTTAGGTAGATTACAAAAAATTTTCTTTTTAAAGTTCACTTCCCGAACATCCAGCATTTCAATGTGGAAGTATAGGAATCGACGCTCTTCGCCGCATTTTGTCTGCTTATGCAGTTCGTAATCCAACTATCGGTTATTGTCAGGCAATGAATATTGTCGCTGCCGTATTTTTGCTTTATGCACCAGAAGAATTAGCCTTTTGGTTATTGGTAGCAGTTTGTGAAAGACTTTTGCCAGATTATTACAATAATAAAGTTGTTGGTGCTCTTGTTGATCAAGGTGTTGTTTTTATGCCAGGACAATTCACCGACTTTATTTGTCCTGACAATTCACCGACTTTATTTGTCCTGACAATTCACCGACTTTATTTGTCCTGACAATTCACCGACAAATCGCTCTACGGTGAATTGTCTGTTTTGTGAACTGTCCTTTATCTCTATTAAATTTTTTTAATTTTCAATTCAAAAAAAAGGTGTTTTCTCTGATTTGGTTTCACAATCTTTACCTGAACTTCATTGTCATATGCTTAAATTACAATTAGACGATATGGTTGCACTTGGCTGGTTTTTAACAATTTTTCTTTCTGCAATTAAATTTGAAGCAGCTCTTCGGATAATCGATTTATTCTTTTTTGAAGGTTCCAAACTTATTTTTCAACTAGCATTGGAAATGCTTCGTCAGAATAAAAAGGCTATATTTGATGCAAAAGATGAAGGGGAGGTATGTTGTGTTTCTAGTGTTTTTGTATTTTCCGGAAAACATTTTGATTTGTGTTTTGTTTTAATTAAACATTCCGGAAAGAAATAATATTTTCCACTTGTGTTTTTCCGGAAAACTTTAAATATTTTTGTGTTCAAGTTTTTCCGGAAACTTACAAATAAATTATTGTGTTTTCCTAAACATTCTAAAATTGACTTTCCGGAAAATTTGAACCTTTTTTTGTTATTAACTCTTATTTTTCCACTTGTGTTTTCCGGAACTTTCAATTTAAATAATTCTTGTATTTTCTTAAAAACTTGAAAATTGACTTGTTTTTCCGGAGGTTTTGTTTGTTTCAGGAAAACTTGAACATTTTGTTTTTAAATTGTAATTAAGTTTTCCGGAAAATAAATTTAAGTTTTGCTTCATTTGTTTTAAATTTTAGGCGTTCCAAGCCCTGAATGCATTTACCGATAAAATTACAGATTCAAACGTGAGGAATAGCACTGAGGTAGTTAATGAATAAATTTAAGATTTATTTTTCAATTTTTTATTTCAGATATTTATTGGAGATTTATTAGCTAGTTCCTACACCCATTTCTCTACTGTTTTTACAAATGAAAACATTGAACAGCTGCGTTTTAAGAATCGCCTCAAGGTTGTACAAAAACTTGAAGAATGTCAAATGAGGTCAATTGTAAGAAGTGTTGGTTGTGATTGTAGATTAACTGAACAAGAGCTTCGAACATTATATAATGCTGTTAAGGTGTTTTCATTATTATTATTTTTGTTTCAGGAAAAAATTTCTTTTTAGGAAGAACATTTGCTTTCGTGGCGCGCTCGTCTTTCAACTACAAGTTATTTGCGAACAACTCGTGGAATTGTGGAACGGTAATTTATTTTTAATGGGAAGAGACTTAAGTTTTGTGTTTTTGTTTTCCGGGAATAAATGTATTTTTATGGTAATCTTCATTAAACCTAACTTTTGTATTTTCCGGAAACTAATGTATTTTTAATTTTCCAGAACTTAAGATTTGTATTTTATTTTTCAGAAACTAATGTATTTTTATTTCTCGGTAAACTTGAGTTTTGTGTTTTTGTTTTCTGGAAACATTTCTAATTTAATTGAAAACTTAAGTTTTGTATTTTTGTTTTCCGGAAATAAGTTTTGTGTTTTCCTTTAATTTTACGGAAAACTTAAGTTTTGTGTTTTTGTTTTCCGGAAACATTTCTAATTTAATTGAAAACTTAAGTTTCGTATTTTTTCCGGAAACATTTTTAATTTTAGGAAAACTTAAGTTTTGTGTTTTTGTAGGCATTTATTTTTAATTTTCAAAAACTTAAGTTTTGTATTTTATTTTCGAAGCTATTTTTATTTTTAATTCTCAAAAACTTAAGTTTTTCTTTTGTCATTTACAAACATTATATTTTTAGTCCTCGTCAATTTCAATACATGCACTCACAATACCGATTGGATTTTGAATTATTTTCACTAATTTTGGGAAAATCATTACCATGGCAGCCTGCCGATATTTTCTTTGTTCGTGCATTCCGAGTTGGTAGTTTAATTTTTTTAATTTTAATTTTTTTTTCAACCTTGTTATTTTTCGTTTTTATTTAAAATTTAAGCTTTTGGATGTAAATATGACGGGCATTTTAACATTTCGTGATTTGGCCTGTTTTTTGAGTACATTACTTCGAGATGAACCTACCGAAAAATTGACTTTGCTTTATAGGTATTTTTAATTTTAAAAATATTCAAACGAATTTAATTTTTAGATGTCACATTCCTCCAGCATTTAACATGTCTGATTTGGATGAGATTATTCCAAATTTTGTTGATGTTAATTCGACTGATGGTATGTTTAAATTGTTTTTCTTTTTGTTTTAAAGTTGTTTTCCTGAGAAACATGTTTTGTTTCTTTAATGTTTTAATTGTTTTCCGGAAAAGTTGTTTAGTTTGTTTTTCAGAGAAATGTGTTTTGTTATTGTTAAAATGTTTTTGTGTTTTCCGGAAACTTATTTTTATTAATTTGTTTGTTTCAGTTAAAACATGTTGTTTTGTTGTTTTTCCGGAAAACTTGTTTTTATTGATTTATTTGTTTTGTCGAAAACATGTTTTATCTGGTTTCCGGAAAACTTGTTTTTATTGTTTTGTTTGTTTCATGGAAAACATGTTGTTTTGTTGTTTTTCCGGAAAACTTGTTTAAGTTTGTTCTTCTTCTAAACATAATAAATCATGTTTTCCGGAATGTTTCAAACTTGTTAACAACTTGTTTTTACATGTTTAACTTTCACTCAAACATTTTTAATAAACATGTTTTTAATTTTAGATAAACAAGAAGAATCATGTTTTGAAGCAGGCGATGTTTTAGGCAGCGATAATAATGCAACACCCGCAAAAACTGATGATGAAGCAACAAAAGAGGAAACAACTCAACTTGATACTAAAAAAATTGGAGACAACCCATTAGTTATTAAAATGAGTGTTAGTTCTTCCCTCCCAATTTTGGATAATCAACAACAACAACGATTATCTTCATCGTCTTCATCATTCTCACTTGGAACAACTTTATCTATTGTAAATTTATTTGTTTTTTAATTAAAAGAAAAAAAAATTTTTTTTAATTTAACTAGGCAAGTACAAATGTCAATTTTAACAATAAAATAAAATTACCAGAAGAAGAAAATGTAAATAAATGGTTTCCATCGAGCAAAACAGAACAAGAAGAAAACCAAAAAATTAATAAAAAATTAAAAAAACAAATTATAATAACTAGTTGTTCGTCTCCCTCAATTTCTACAACTACTGCTACAGCATTAACAATAAATGAAGATAATAATGCTCTTTTACGATCTATGACTACAACAGATGAAACTTTTACTGAAGAAGAAAGTCGTAGCGAATTTAGTGGTAAATTTTGTATTTTGTTGTGTTTTCCGGAAAATACAATTTTGTTTTCAGAATTTTCTTTATTAAACACGGATAACCGTCTTCTTCAACGACAAAAACTTTTAGACGAAAATGATAGCAAAACAACGAATGTTTGCAACGCAAAAGTTAGGCCGGAACGAAGGCCTTTACAAACACAACTTGAACATATTAATCAAGTGAGTGTTTTTCTTCTTAAAAACAAGTTTTCCGGAAAACAAGTTTTTAAGAATCTTTCTATTTTTGTTTAAATAAATAAATAAACTTGTTTTCCAGTAAACTTTTAGTTTATTCCGGAAAACAAGTTTATTTTTATAAAATAAACAAATAAACTTGTTTGAGAACTTGTTTTCCGGAAAAGTTATATTTTTTCCGGAAAACAAGTTTATTTCTATTTTTATAGAGTATATTAGAAATGTTTTCCGGAAAGAAACGTATTTAAATTTCTATCGTCAACAAAACTTGTTTTCCGGAAAGGTTATATTTTTCCGGAAAACAAGTTTATTTCCCAATTTTAAGAGTGGAAATGTTTTTATAAAACATATAAAAATGTTTTCCGGAAAAATTTCTAACATCAATTTTTCCTTGAAACAAAACTTGTGTTTGTTTCAGATTCAATTTATTCAATTTTGGAAAACAATTTATGATATGATTGGAAGCATGAATATATTAAACAATAATAATTTATATTCTACTCCCTCAACGTCTACACAAAGTGAAGGAGCATTTTTATTACCTCCTCCTCATTTACCTTCACAAGAAGAGGATGCAAATTTGTTTAATTCTTTAGCTTTTGTTGGTACTTTATTGTTACAATTGGGTGATGCTAATAAAAATCATCGGTTAGAAGAAGAAAAAAATTTTTAGAAAAAAAATATTTCATTTTTAGTGAACAAGTAGAACGTCAAATAGTCGAAGCTCTAGGTGAAGATGCTAAGGCAACAATGTCTGTTGCAATGAATTTGGCTGAAAATGACGAAGACAACAATGAGAAGGGAAAGAAACCTGGGGATTTGGATTCTTGGTGGCTTCTAAATTTTTTTTAAATTTTTAATAAATAAAAATTCGTTTTCTAGTATTAAAGACGGTGAATGGCGTTTATCACTTCAACAAATTATTGCTACAGTTTTGGCTCAACCATCTCTTGCAACATTTTTTGAAGGAAAATATCAGTAGTTAACCACCCCTCCAAGTCGTCAGGGGCAGCGGGGTCCAACCATTTAGCCCCTCCCACATATTTAAACGGTATTTAGACACACCCAATCCGTCGTCAGAGTCCAAAGATTCAATGGACACCCAAAGGATCAAAGGGTTTAAGGGGTAATATGATCAAACCGGTTTAATGGCAAAAATTGAACTTTTTTAAAGAAAAACTATCATTCGCCCTATTCTTCACCAATTTTTTTAAAATTTTCCTAAAGCTTCAAGGTTTAAGAAGTGGGTTTGAACTGATTTAAACGGTTCAAAGAAGAATTTCGCATATTTTTTAAAAGATTACATAACCTAAAATTTAAAATGGTTCCCAAAGGTTCAAGATGTTCAGAATTTCTTTTGAACCGGTTCAAGGATGTACTCTTAAAAATTCTTAGAGAAACATCTTTCCAACCCTCTTCTCTATTTTCTAAATATCTTCTTTTATTTTTACCCTTTATTTTGAAAAATATAAAAATTATTAAAAAAGTAGGCGGTGAAAAGTGAAAATATATAATAATTATAAAAATTCATTCATGCAATAATTGTTACAAA